TGTTACCCGATTAATCAGTCTAACATTAAGAACTATCTATATTTGCATCTATGAGCAAATATTTGTTCTGCCTATTGGCTGACGATTCTCCTCTGCTAGCTAATGTCTACATGAACAAGTTGGATGAGAATCTCAAAATGTCACCTCAGCAGCCAACAGTAATTCTGCGATATTTGGATAACTACTTCTCAATCTGGTCGCATGGAAAAGAAAAATTAAACAATTTCTTGATCTTCATAAACGAAATGGATTAACAAATTTAATTTACCGTGGATGTGGAGAACGGACACTTACTGGTGGCAGGCTCGACTACGGGGATACCAACCAACATACATCCATGAATGAACATCCTAATATCCTAAGATTATATAGGAGTGTCAACTTGAAGGACGAGGCGAGTGTTTTTTCGTGATTCGGGAGGGGAAAAAGGAGGTGGTGTATTTTCACATCTGTGGTTATGCTTGACAGGGCCCCAAAGAATGAGAAACAATGTGAATGGGAATGAGTCATGGCCTTGAAGCCTAGTTAGATAAAGATCCCCAGGGCATGGGCACCATATACTCGGAAAATTGATTATTTTTAGGCAGCCGGATTTCAGACAGTCAGACACTGATTTTGATACATGAGTTGTGATTTTGCTGTTTACCAGACATCAATTGACAAATGGGGTTGGAGACGGTTAGCTGAATAAAGGTCAGGGACCCTGCAAACGACAACGGGTAGCGGAGGTTAAGATGATTACGCTTCAATAAATCCACTGGTAGCGACAAAGTCTTAGGCGGCATTGTAGGAAACAAGAATATAGAATTGTGTGAATGGATAGATGGGCCGAATCAATTAGGGCTGAGGGACAGAACTGCAACACTACAAGGTACAACACAAAACAGGGGCGAGGAGCGATGCCATAACGGTCGGACGGAAAAGTTGTCAAGAGGATTAACTTCATTTGTCACTAATAAGTTGTGTCTGTGCTGACATTGGCACCTCTCACTGACGATCCTTGTGTAAGGTCTGGAGATGTACCAAGTCAATGGCCCGGTGCTGGAAATCACGAATCCTATGACAAAGTATACGAGGAGAAACCCGGTTTCGATTAATATTCTGAGATAGCGTTGTTGAGGGGGCTTTCATTTCGTATGAAAGTGCATGAAGAAGAGATTCGTAGATCGATCCTACCAGAAGAGGACGAATTAATCATGTTGTACTGAAGCCGTTTGGATTTTATACGACGCTCTGGTTGACCAAGTCCATGAGACCTCGTTTCGGGTGAAGACGGGCTGAGATTTCGTTCATCCTATGATGGACATCGTCAGAGCTGGGTCTCATTCCTGTAAAAGTATCACTTTAACACTAGGGCAAGAAGACTATCCTGCTCTATCTTACCTCTTATATAGACTCATTTAAGCTAAAAAAAACTAGATAGATATAGAGTGGTTTGGATAATTATCTTACATACTAGCCCTGCTACTTTGCTCAAGTGTGTGCGTTAGCGTCAACTTGAACGTCGTATAAAAGCCAAATGGCTGCAGTACAACGGTATTCATCCGTACTCTTCCGGTGAGATCAACTAACGAATTTCTTCTACATGCACTTTCATACGAAATGAAATTCCCCCCAGCAATATGACAAAGGACACAAGGCTAGGAGGTACGTTCCACAGGGTCTCCTTGACGTTCTGAACAAGTTGCGACAACGAGGTCGAACCAACACTAGAACGTATATTGTAACTGGATCAAGACGACTTTGTTAGCTATGCTATAACTCAGGATGGGTCGATAATTGGTAATAAGTTGTCCATACTATAGGCTTGACCTTAAGCTTAAAAACCTTTTCTCTGTCCCTTCCATGATCGATTCACTATGCAGTAGGCGTGCTAACTAATTTTCTGCAACCATATTTCGCCACCTAGAGAATAAGTGCGATTGTGTATATCGTATTTTAGCCTTTTTTATTCAAAGCATATGCTAATGTCCTCGTTTTTGGTATACTTGTTCACAAATGCCACATTTGGGAAGTCAGTGACCTACCGTTGGCCGAACGGATAACGATTGAGTTTACTGGATGACACTTATTTACAGCTTAAAAACCTCCCATTTACATTGTCAAGTACTTTGAGGAGCCTGTATATCACTCCTGTCTCCCCATTAGCAGATATTTTTGTGTATTTTGCTAAGATTCATTTTATGGCTAATCTAATCTGTATGATGTATTTATAATGCCAATAAACCTTGATGATCTGGCCAATATGTTACGCTCTGTTAGGCTTACTCAGAATTGTTACTGTAGTTTTGTATCTGATCGTACATGCACATTAACGCACAAAGATACATGAGCATGAACTAAGCAAGTCACTCTTCTACCCCATATATATATGCCGTAGTCTTCTGGTGAGATAGACCTACGCGTCTCTTTATCGTGCACTTACATACGAAGTGAAAGTTTTCATACCATTGTTATTTATTCCTACCTTAAATATAGATAATTCTATTTAATATATACTATATAGTCAGATTATCTCCCATTGCTTGATGCTGCCTATCTACCCTATGAACCTTCTTGTGAAAGAAGCTTATTACTATTTGTAATAAGTTTTTCATCTTGTCTCATCTTTGCATTTTCAGATCCGAACAATCTGAAAAATCACGACTTTATATAGGGAAAGGCGTTGAGTTGGACAATGTTGGTGAAGGAGATGTTTGGATACGCTGTCTTTCTGAGTTTTCAGTATTTGTGCAGAGCTATTACCTAGATCGTGAGGCGGGTCGTGCTCCAGGCGACGCAGTGCACAAAATTTATCCAGGAGCCTATATAAAAGTTTGTCTCATTTTTTCATCATTATTCGATAAAATTTTCAGATTAATATTGTAATTATCACTTTATTCATTTTTAATTGCTTTTTTGTTAGATTGTCAATAATTCAAGTATATAAGTTATTTGATTTTGTTTTCGCAACTTGATCATATTGACAGGAAGACTTAGAGGTACGCACCTAGTCCGGAGTTCATTGCATGCATGATTATTTCCAAAGTCGGACTGTGGACGTGGTACATTCCCAGACGTTTCGCCGGCATCATCAGTGAGCCTTGCCTTTCTCAACACCACACTACAAGTCATCAAAGAGACAGGTGAAATTGATTCTTTTACCACTTGTTCGCTAAATAGTTGTGGTATCTCTCCTTCTGTACTGGGCTATTCACCTATCCTATATCTTTGTATCTTACTATTTTAATAGGCCTGTACAAATCAAGTATAACTATCATATTTGGAGGTAGGCACGTAAGAAAAGTCATTTACTTGGCATTAGGGATAGAAATGCAAGAGAAACGACGATAAACATTTCTAATTAGCTATTAGTAGTTAATTTTGCTCATAGACATGACCCATAAAGTAAAGGCTTGATCGCGAGATTTACTTGATGCACATGCCGCATATTGATAAGGAAATCTGTAGCGTCAAGTTAGGTTGCCATCCCATTGAGAATCTAGACTAGGGGCTTGCTCAGTGAGGATGGTGTATACGTGCTACCAAAGGC